TTTGCGATATGGTGGCCAGTAGAACCCAAAATCCTCATCTAGATAGCGCTTACCTATAGACACAATTGGGGGCGTGTTTTTGAGGAGATAGAATTCCATCTTTGAATTCAGTTCAGTCACCGTTACCTTAGCAATCTTATCAGCACTTGTCGGGTCGTTAGTTCTAACCAAGTTCATAGGATTGCCAGCATTGGTAGATTCCGACCTAGGATAATACCGCCTTTTATCTGTCTTGCTCAACAGGTCTTCCTCACTACCCGTGTCAGCTAGGAACTCCAATTCACTAACCTTTGCTGCACAGGCCATAAGTGGGTGACAATAAATGCACGAGCCAATGCCATCTGGACCAACTTGCTCAAACTGATATTCTGCGGTAGCCCCTGAATAGAAGACTTTGATAATATTCTCAAGTTCTTGGGCGGTTTGGATAGCATAATCTAGGTCTTCATTTGAGGATTTGGGGCAATCCTTTGCTATCCGGAATCGATCCTGAAAGATATGGGTCTTTGGTGCTGATGACTTGCGATGTGCTTGTATTTGATATTATATATAACTGGGTTGAAGTCAAACTTCGCCGATTTTCGGGGTGCTCGATACTGTGTGTGGTATGTACTTGCACGGCGTGGGGATGATATTCTTTGGCTAGACGATGCTGCTGCGGCGAAGCCGCTCCTTTCCGGCGTGCCCGTTAGGGCCGCAGTATCAAGCAGGCAAGACGCAGCGTTGCTCGTCTTTTCGCGAGACCTATCACGGCTTATCTTTCTACGCCTGCCAATATGCGGTGATGGCGATCTGGGCTTCTCTTCTTTTGCAAGCGTGGCGATGGATAGAGACTTGCTTCGGGTTTTCTATAGAACCTCGCATTGATCCCCTTTAATATACTTACCGTTCCTCTTGAAGAATCTAAAGATTTTCTTCTTCTTTTCAGCACTAGGAGGTCTTCCTCTAGAGGAACCACGACTGGAGCTTGATCTCGATGATATCCTAGAAGATTTCCTGGAGCCCTTGGAATCCTGGGAAGCGGACCTATGGGGGTACTTGCATTTGTCTCCCCGAGTGCACTTGCCCTTTGCCCAATCAAAGCAAATCTTACCCCCTTTTCCTGCGCCCTTACCATCCTTACCTTTACCCTTGCCTTTGGGTGGATCCTGAGATGGGGTATCATCCGGCGTTGGGGTGCCATACTTGTCTCCATGGGACCTGGCGATCTTGTCACGATTCCTATGGATGCGTTCACGGGTCAGGAGGTCATGTATGCATTGAGTCAGGAACTGATATATTTGAATATAGGCGCCCTCTTTGACTCTATTATAAATCTCTAGGTCGTACTTGAATTTACCGGATTTGCGCGCCTGCCTCAACAAGATGTCCCTCAATGAGGTTTCCTCGAGAATATGAGAGATTCCGGCGATTACCGACTCCCAATTGTGAATGAACGTCGACAAATCGTCATTGTTAAGGGGTACCTTAAGTAGATCCTCAATAGAGTAGAGCGAGCCTGCTTCCTCGTTCGTCTTGAAGAATTGCTCAAATATTAACAAAACCTGACGCCCTCTTATTGCATGACCCTTGCTGGCTTCAACTTCCTTATGATTAAGGATTCTTCGATCCAATTCTCCTTTCACGATCTTGGAGAGGACAGCTAGAAGCTTGGTGGCCAAGATCAAAAACTTGCCTATTTCCCTTAGGGATTCTAGTATGGCCTCCTTGGTCTATACTTCTAGTAGCCACTTGAAGGCCTCGTCAGGCTGATCAGACGCCGCACGAACAGTCTCACGCATTGAGATCTTCCAGGATCTCTAAGTTTCAGGACTGGGAAAATCCGGGAGTCTGATGCTTTCAGCCTCTTTAACCTTGGATCTTTCGGGCTCATTAGACTTGCTGGTCAAGGCTTCCAGGACTTTGGGGTTACCTAGAAGTGACACTAGAGCTGCTTCCGTGGCGTTGCCCGGCACACGGTCTCCCATTGCATCCGTAGCGGTTCTCGTTCTTTCCTCACCTAGGTGGGAGAATAGACCTCTGAAGGATGCGGGGATTGTCTTCGGGTTGTCATTCCACGGGTATTCAGGTGCGGTCGGTATCTGAGGCGGAGTTTTTGGTTCGAAATCGGGAGATGGTTCGGGGTCGAAGTGGTGTACGTTAGACCTAGGGGTGGAGAGGCGCGAACGCGCGGATCTAATCCTTTCCTCTTCCAATTTTTCCCTAAGAATCGAAATCTATTCTTTCAATCCTCGAACCTCGTCTTCATGCTCCTCCCTGACTCGGGCAACCTTCTCATCTGCCTTTTCGTCACGAGCAGTAAGTTCCCTGGCAAACAAATCCCTAAGGAAATCAAATGATTCCTCCTTATTCTTGCGGAATATGTGAGGGATACTCTCTCGTTCCTCTGCAACCTGATTTTCATGTCTAGCGAACATGAGCTTATTTTCCTGAAACTCCCTGGTTTGGTTCATTAGCTCTTGCCTAAGTTGTTGTATGATTGCTTGCAGGCTAGCGAAATTCTGAGTCGCTATAATCATCTCATTCTGATGATAATTCTCTGTACGATTCTCGGTTTCCCGGAATACGGCTGTTGATTGCTCCTCCTACCTCATCACGATGGCGTCATGTCGCCGATCGGCTTCAGCTTCCAGAATCCTGCCAGGAACGCCTGTGTCATTCGCCACAAAGAGATTTTGAATATTTCTGGTATCCAAGTTGATCATTCTTGGAGGAATTTCTGAGGGGAAATATCTAGCTTCCGTACCTGGTCTCGGGTATTATCCTATACGATCTGGTGGCGGCAAACCAGCTTGTCTAGCCATTGCTTTTGATAAAGTCATTGGCATGACGGAGCCGTTTAGCAGTGCAGATATCAATTCTTCTTCATCACGAGTTCCCATTGCAAGCTAGCCTAGCAACCGCAAATTATGGCTGCTAACCTAAAGATCCAGGGTAGGATCTCCAGATCAGCAAGCACTCTACCATTAAGCCTTATAATCGAGCTCTTTTATAGTGGATTGCGGCGATAAGCAAAATCATGGTCAGACGCTCGATTAAATATATAATTGTATATGAATCAAGCTAGACAAGAGGCATGACATGTAATTGGAAGATCAATTCAAACGTATTAGAAATTTCAACAGAGATCTCTACATAGAGAGAATAATAAAATTAAGAATATGAGAATTATATTCCATTTTCTTCTTATTATCAAATAAATAGATTATGAAGAAAATAAATATAAATTTTCGGATGAAAGAAAAAATATTTCAAAAAATTAGAATTCATATTCTGAAGAAGATTCTCGATTAAATGAATCTAGAATAAGAATTTCTCATAATAATCTTATATGCTAGATGAGCTCGAAATTATCTCCTCTCCCAAATTTTAATTTAATATCAAATTTCCAAATCATAATTTAAAATCCATCATCTCCCATTTTCCAATATCAGAATATTTCAAATATATCTATCAAATATCCATAATAAATCTTCGTAATAAGAGAGAAAATAGAAAAAGAAAAATCATACGAATGAAAAATGAAATCATCTTTATTTTTCTATGAAATTAGAATATATTTCATTAGTATATTAGATAATATATTATCGTCTTGATATATTAGATTGATAGATTATCAAATATATTTTATTTCAATCAATAGAATATATATATTTCTATAAAGTTCTTCGTATTTCATTCTATCTTTCTGATATAATTTCGATCTAATGATAGCTTTCCAATAATCTATCTTATTAAATTATATAATTGAAATATTTTAATTGAAGAAATTTATTCTAATATGAAAACTTATATTAGATATATTTTTCTATAATATTTAATATTTCGAAAAAAATCATGAAGTTCCTATGATCTTCTGGGATTCTCATATAGGATTCTTCACGATTAAGATACGTATTTATAAAATGAGATAGATGCCCAGAATCCCTGGCCCAGAGTCCTACGGCTTCCGGCCGGCGCAGGCGCCGTCCCGCCCTCGCCGCCAACGCCGCCCCCGCCATTCCCTACAATACGCGCTACGCCGCCGCCCGCCGCCCCATTGCCCCATTGCACTTACATATTCATATCTTCCTAATGATACGCAAGGGTCAGCAGATCGTTTCTTAGAGGAAACGACAAAGCGTAACAAAGAATCTTATATATCGCCTCGTCATTCCTCAGCCTCGCCGCGATATCGCCGCCCCCGCCCGCCATTACCTGCTGCCGCCGCCCCCGACCGCCACCGCCACCACTACCAATCGGCACCGCACCGCCATGGCCACGGCCATTGCGGCCGCCCTCGCCACCATATAAATTTGCATCTGGGCGCCTAGCTCTGATAAACGAAAAGCTACTAGATTCTTTCTCCGGAAGCGACGGCGCCTTAATGCGTAGTCGGCAGCGATCTTCCTAAATATCTAGGATATTTTAGAAAATTGGTGCCGGATTTCTTCCAAATTCAGTCGGGACCGGTCTTCCAAAACCGAGATATTTTAGAAGACCGGTCTACAAAAATACCCGCAGACGGAAAACGGAAGAAGCCCGCAAAGTTTTCGTAAATTTATATCGTCCGATAATTCCGGAATTTATCCAATCAAAATCATTTCCTAATTATCATTCTCTCTTCTTTTTCAAATTGATGGACAATCATAACAGTGTTTCCGAGTAATATTCCTAAAATAGTTCTATTCCAATTGATACGTGGTCATTTGGCACCAGCAGCGTCTTGGATTGCAATAAGTATTGGTTGGATGCATAAGGGATACAATTTTCAGCCGACACTTTCGCAGGTCGATAAGTTGTTGAGCTCACATGCTCTCAGGTAATAATTCCCATAGAGCGTTCGTACCTGGCAATTGCTGCAACTAGTTGCTTTAGCCAACGGCTTTAAGTGCAGAATCGCAAGCCCAGCGCCGTTAGAATTTCAACATTTTCTCAAGTGAGCCAACCCTCAGAGAGTGGCACTGGATACAAGAATCTCCATAAGTTTCCATCTGTACAGATTGCCACAGCTGAGCGGTTCAGATGACGACTGCTTCGGCAAGCTCTGCATGCCCGATCAACTTCAAAGGAATCCTATCACCAGAAGCGCTGATGTTGACGCACAGCTTGATGTCTTGTTGGCATGATGCCTGCAAGCACTGCTCAACCCTGTGTCCTGACAATGGAGCCGATCCTTGGCAAGTGGGTCATGATTTATGTCAAGCGCAGTCTCCACGGAACTAGATCACTGGATGCCTGCAAGCGTCGCCGTGTTGATCTTGTCCTGGAGCTTCTGAAGGATTTTGGGCGCATCAATCCTCTCAACCTAAAGTCCAGCAACATCTCTGTTTGTGTCAGTATGCCCACTGCATTGGAAGCCCGGAAGCAGAATCCAGAAGCGTTTGCAGCTTGTCCTTCACATGCCTCTCAACGTAGCCGCACCTGATGATGTCAACATCTCCCGGTTGCATGAAGGCGAGGCTGCAACACCGTGTTTGCACACAGATCTTCAAAATGGCTACAACTTTACGACCCTGAGGTGGAAGTTTTAGGCTGTGCTTTGGCGTTCCAGGTGAGGTGGACTTTGCTGGGGGATCTTGGCAATATTCTCATTGCGCACTTGACAGAAAACACAAATCACAGGCTACACAGAACCGATCAAATTCTCTGCAGAGCTGCACAGAAGCAATCTCAATACCGAGAATTTCGATCTTGCAGCCATCAGCAGTTATCTTTTCAACATTCCTCAGAGGCGGCCGAAACATGACTGCTGCAGGTGACAGCAAGCACTGCGTTTTCCAAAATTGATCACTACACTGCACTCTCCTTCACTGCCTGGAATGTGGCCATGCTTCCAGATAGAACAGCACAGTGCGGGTAGGGGGGTCCAGTGGGCATCCTTTTGAAGGGTCCAGTGGGCATCCTTTTTCAGCCT